GCTGCCAGCTGAGATTGACTCAGGGGGGGAACTCTGGAAACTCCTCCTCCTCCTCCGCTTCCTCCTCCTCCTCCTCCTCCTCCTCCTCCTCCTCCTCCTCCTCCTCCTCCTCCTCCTCCTCCCTCCTCCTCCTCCTCCTCCTCCTCCTCCTCCTCCTCCTCCTCCTCCTCCTCCTCCTCCTCCTCCTCCTCCTCCTCCTCCTCCTCCATGCAACGAGAGCACGATTCGGAACGAGCGGAAGCGAGGAAATGAGGCCAGCGCTGCAGCGGAAGCACTATTCGGAACGAGCGGTAGCCCGAAAATGAGGCTTGCGCTTCAGCGAGAGCAGCATTGTGAACAAGAACCCAAGCGCGGAAGCGCGCAAATGAGGACGCGTAGCCTGACGTAGCATGGCGTGGCGACGCCCCAAAGTGGGGAGGGGCTTCTGCGGCCCAAAAAATCAACGAATCGACACCGAATGTGGAATCAATTCCGATGGTGTCTTCGGAAGGCCATTTTTTGATTTTGGGGCTTATTTGGAAGGACCGAAAACCATGCCGTGGCATGGTACTGGAACTAATGACGCCAACGCTGCAGCGGGAGCACGATTCGGAGCAAGCGGAAGCGCGGAGATGAGGCCAGCGCTGCAGCGGAAGCACTATTCGGAACGAGCGGTAGCCCGAAAATGAAGCCAGTGCTTCAGCGAGAGCAGCATTTTGAAAGAAACACGAAAACCCAATTCCTGGGAATCCTTTGTAAAATGCAATACACGGAGGGGGGCCATACATTTCTCGGACGCACCCAGGGGAGAAAGGAGAGTCGTATTCATAGTGTTGAAGTGTATAAGGGAGGCGGAAGGGGCAGGGAGGTTGAGCAATAGGTAGGGCGAGAAAGGTTCTCTTCCTCGTCCCCCTCTCCCCATCCTCACTCCCTGGGGAAGCGATGGTGGACTTCATAGACGAGGATTTGGAGCGCAGAACTGCATTGCACAAGGCTGCCACAGTAGCCATCAGACCCTCTACCATCACGATGGTGGCCAAAAAGTCCGGGGTTGTTGGCGTGCCGCGCTGGCCCGAGCCCCCACGTGGGCCACAACTGTCTGGAAGGCAGCGTGTGCGCCCGCCAGCCCGCCCTTTCCGGGAGGGCCTCCAAGACTTCTTAGCTTGGCGCCCGTGCCCTCTATCCGACCCACTGTTGGGAACGATCGAAGCCATTGCTCGCGGCGAGAGAAAGCGACAGGCACGTTCTGAAAGCCCTGATCCCAAACTTCCTCCCTCCTTATCCTCCTACTCCTCCTCCTCATCCTCCTCTCCTCCTCCTCCTCCCTGCTCCTGCTCCTGCTCCTGCTCCTGCTGCTCCTCCTCCTCCTCCTCCTCCTCCTCCTCCTCCTCCTCCTCCTCCTCCTCCTCCTCCTCCTCCTCCTCCTCCTCCTCCTCCTCCTCCTCCTCCGTCTCCTCCTCCCCCTCCCTTCGTCCTCCCCATCATGCTCCTTGAGGAGAAGGTTGGGGTGCCCAAAACGGTGCGGTGACAGATCGTGCGGTGACCTCGGAATCGCCAAAGACCTCACCTCACGGTCCGTCACCGCACGTTTTTGGAACCCTGGAGGCCCCAGTCGCCCGTGACGCACTCGAATGCTGCCCTAAGTTCCAAGACCGTCCGGTCACCCTGAAGCCCCACTGATCCACCACACTGGCCTTCCTCCGAATGTTTGGTTTCTGGGCCACAACTCGGGCCCCCGATGGCCTTTCAGGACGACCTGGGCACCCCCGAACGTCCTCGACGAGGCGCAGCTGCTGGGACGCACCCCGAAGCTCGAAAGGCGCCAGGAACCCACGCCGACGACCGACCGTTGACTGCGCGACATCCGACGACGACGACGACGACGACGACGACGACGACGACAACGACGACGACGACGACGACGACGACGACGACGACGACGACGACGACGACGACGACGCCGACCCCACGCACTGCAGGCGGCGGACGGCGGACGAGGACGAGGAGCTCTGGCGGCGCGCGGCAGCTGCCGAGCCTTGGCCTCCCGCAGACTGCCGCGACGCTCCTCGGGGGTGCGGCGCTCCGGCGCTGTCGTCGCCGCGCCGACTGCCCGCCGTCCTCGATCGAGGCTCGAGAATCGAGGATCGAAGAGGAGGCTCGACGAGTATCGAGGGGGGCGAGGAGGCGGTTAGGAGGAGGCGGATCAAGGTTGGATCGAGGAGGATCGAGGAGGATCGGGGGCCCTCGTCGCCCGCATCATCTTCCTGACGCTGCAGCTGTTCCTGCTGTCGCTGTCGCTGTCGGCATCAGTGTCACGGTTGACCCTGCCATCTTGCTCCTGGTCTTTTGCCGTCCACGGCAATGTCTCAGGAATGAACAGAACCTGGCAGAGCGAGACACCCCTGGCAGGATTAAACGGGGCTCAGTCCGAATCGCTCGAAAACCGAGTCCTGGAGGGCCCCGAAAAAAGAACACGCGCAGCCTCATCCTCCTCCTCCCACCCCTCCGAAGCAGCGAGGGCCCCGCCTGGCGGGGCGCGCTGCACAGGCCGGCCTCCAGCGGCAGGGGCCTGACCTGACCTCGCCCCTGAGGGAGGGACGAGGGCGGGAGGGGGAGGGAGGGGAGGCTCACGAGGAAGCGAGGATGAGGTGAGACGACTGAGCGACGCCGAGACAGGTAACGAGCAGCCAGTCTCTACCACCACGTGTGGTTTATCTGGATGGCTGCCCTTCTGGATCTTTCTCCAGTTCTTGTGACCTGTGACCGTCGGCGGCTGACACACCTGGCCCAGCTTCTTGACCTGGGCCCCAGAACTGTAACTCCTGCAGTGCAGGCAAGTGAACAAAAATGAATTATTGGAGCAGGCCAGAGCAATGACTTTATGCCCCAACCTGTCCAATACAGCAGAGTCGAGCCTGGAGTGGCCCCTGCACCCCCCTGGCTCAGGCGGGCGCTTAGAGAGGGACCCTAGGAGGCAAACTCTGCACCTCCAAACCGAACTGATGAGTTCCCATTGGTGCTGCAGCCGATGCACGGCAGGGGCAGGAGGACGAGGAACACGCTCCACCCCGAGGAACTCCACTCAAGGCCAAAGGGGGAGGAGGGCAGCACCAAGGGACATCACCGTCTTAGACACCTTAATTTTCCAGTCGAGCTCCTGAGACAGACTGGGGTCAAAGGCAGGGTGCCGGGCGACTGCACGCTTGGCTCCAGCATCTGCTAGCTCGTTGCCCTTCCTCAAAAATCTTTCATCCGCAGAGAGATCAGGGGCATCTGGGTCGAGGTGGGCATCGACTTTGGCCAGGGAGCGCAGCTTCCCTTGCCCCAAAGACAAGCCTTGCAACATAAGCCCAGAATAAATCCTCTTGGGAGACTTGCACACGTCGAGGCCTAGGGAGTACTGTTTAACGACATTAGCACAGTCACTGTAAGCGTCAGCCTGGCCCCCTACACACACGCCAATGCCACAAAAGGCAGAATACTCAGCAGCCTGGGGCGACTGCGCGTAGGGGGGCCGAACTGGGGCAGAAACTTCACAGACTAAGTTGGCCTCGGGGTCCACCATGGCAACACACCAAGCGCTCCTGCAGAGTTCAGACACAGGGTGGCGGATGCAAGAGCCATCTATAAACAAGGACCCCAGACCCCTAAGTCTGGAGAGGTAGGCGTGGGATCCAGGGACCCAGGGATAGCGACCTCAGGGACCATCCAGTTGACCAAGACTTCTCCACTGCTCTCGGGCCGAGGGAAGTAGTCACCAGGGTGCCGAAAGGCTCCATATATCCAGAGAGTGGCCTCGTAACCCTCAGCTGCAGTGTCGAGGGCACTGGCAATAATCTCATCATCAGCAATTTCTTCACGCACAGAAGAGCACGAAGGGCACTCCCAAAGACGGTGCCACAATGTGTCAACCTCGGAGTGGCACAGCTGGCAAATGTCGCCAATCTGGTAGCCAGCTAACTTCGCAGAGCTGGCGGTCCAAATGGCGTTACAGGCCAAAGCTCGCATCGTCGACCTATCCTTAGGTCTGGTGCGTTTGGACCTGATACTGGATTTGACAATGTCCCAGCAGAGCCTGTGCTCGACCCCCAGCTTCTCCCCCGAAGACCGCTCGAGCCCCATAAAACACGGCAGCCCGACACAAAGCCCCCAGAAGGCGGGGGGACAGCAGCAGGTGCTGGAGGGTCTCACCCAGGCCAGAGATGATGGTGCAGAAGTCGGTCATCTGCCACCCTATGCGGTAAAAGGACATCCTGAGGGCCGAGACAGGACCCTTCACCTTGGCCCAGGACCAGCCATCCCTGCCGAAGGTGACTTCCCAGGCCGAACGCATCGAAGCAAACGACAGGGCCCCTTCAAAAGCTTTAGTCTGCACAAGCCACAGCTCTTTGCACCAACGAATGATAGGGGCCACACTCGCTCTCCAAGGGGGGTCCCCTTCAAGGAGCGAGAGGGTGGTGAGGGAACGGCGCTGGGACTTGGGAGAGATAGTGGCCATGCCCTTACTCCTGAGCGAGTGGAGCTCACGGTCCGAAACTCCCCAAATTTCCGACCCAAAGGTGACGCCCGCCAGCGGGCCCGACGCAAAAATCCTGACAGCGGACCTGCCCAGGTTGCTTTTGTGCTTGTCGAGGCGCCTGCATTGACGGAAAAACTTGGCCTGACGTGTCTTGAGTTTGGCTGATTTACCCTTTTTTGAGCCTGGGGTAGTGGTGCGTAATGAGCGGCCTGCCGTGTAGTCAGTACCCAAAATAACCACCGAGGCCGAGGGCTTGCCGCACAACTCCCCCAGTCGCTCCTCGAGCTGAATGGCTATTGACTTGTGGCTGCACACACAGCCCACGCTGTCAAGCGCCAGCCTGCAACCGAGCTCTTGGGCGACAGCCTTGTGTAAGCTGACAGAAGAAGAAACTAGTGCCTCCACGACTTCGGGGACCGCGCCCGTGCGCGAGAGGCACGCGTCATCAATGTAGGCGCCGGAATCAGTGCCACTAGCCAGAACATTGCACAGCTGATCGAAGGCTTTAAGAGCGAAAACTCGGATAAACGAAGTGGCCATCGAGCACCCAGCTACGACCCCACAACTGACCCAGTACGGCCCCTCGATGATGCCCCCAAGGCTGAGAAACCTGCACGGGCGATAGGCCGCCATGGCGACCCTGGTGATAACAACAGGAAAGTCGAGGCATTGGCACTGATTCTCGAGGAAATCGAGGGAGATGCTCTCGTAGTACTTCTGAAGGCCATAAAAGACTGACCCTGAAGTGAGGCCCTCGGTAACTCCCGCTTCGGCTTTGAAGCTCTGCCTCCAGACAACATCCGTGGCACCCCTATTGGCTCCAGCAGCCCAATAGGGCCTCGCAAACTTCTTTTCCCAATCGAGAGCGAAAGGCCTCCTGGCACGGCCCCAAAGCCGATACCACGAAACGAAAACCCCGATGGGCCTGAAGCCCCCAACAGGTTTAGGCAAGAGGGCCAAGAGCACAACCATTAACTGATTAGGAAGCCTCCCCGTGGCTTCGATGACGTACAGGAGCCCCGAGAGGGCAATGAGGGCGGCGTCACACAAAACCGAATAGTGACGAAGGTGAAAACCGTCAACCGAAACCGCACTCTGTTTACGGTAAGTCTTGCAGACCTGGCGGATCTCCCCTGGGGAGAGGCGGGGCAGGGGGGTGACCAAACGAACAGGGCCCACAGGAGGCCCGCTCCCCTCCCCCCACCACGCCTGAAAGCGCTTCCCTTCGGCAGACAGAAGGGCCCTGGGGTCCGCCACAATTTGCCCGTTCGCCGCAATGGCGACCGAGGGAACCCAAGGGGTGGGGTCTCTAAGGACGCGATGGGCCCGCCTGCCCCCTTTGTCCAAACCTTCCTGGAGCCATTCTCGCCAGCGGCGCTTGTTAGCCTTAGCAAAGTCCTTAGCGGTCTCCTCTAGGCACGGCGCGAGAGATGCGAGCAGCTGGTCAACATCAGCCACAAAATCCGAGAAAGCGGGCGGGGACCGCGCGTCCAGATCCGCCTTGCCCTGACACTGATTATCGAGCGCGACGGGCAAAACGGGGGGAGGAGGATGTGCCCCAGACGGAGCCGAGCAAACAGACGAGTGCTTGCGACCAGCCAGTCGATCAGCTCAAGAGGCGGCTAAGCTGGTGGCACGTTGAAATAGTCCAGCACGACAGGCGCGAGCCGTGCCAGCGCACGTCGGCGTAGAGCACAAGGCCTTGATGCACCGCAGTGGAACGTTGTGTGCTAATACTTCAGATCTCAAGGCCTTGAGCTGGGTCTCCAACCACTTCAGACCGCGGGAAACGGGGTCCTTGGGAGGAGAGCACGCCTGGCAGATGGGCTTCCAAAAAGTCTCACTAGTTTTGCCGCGGGACCCATAGACAGGGAGGTCGGCCCCCAGGACCCTCGCGAGATCAAGTTCGGCTCTATTCGCCCAGAGACCGCACCCTTCAGAGAGCAGGGCAGCGGCCCCGTCACCGCCCCCAAGGGACACCCTGTCCACAGCAGTATTGACCAGATCAAGCACCAGATCCCAATCAGTGCTGCACTCCTGCGGCCTTGGGCCGAACGGGGGGTCCACAGGCAAGGGCGGCGGCCTGCGAAAGGCGAGAGCCTTCAGTTGAAGCAGACGGGGGTGAAAAGTAAGCGACGCGGGGCGGTGGGGGTTGAGCGTCGCGTCGAGTCGGACTTTGGCCTCGTTGAGGCCCTTGGCCAGGGGGGGGCGAGACCACGAAGTAGTCAAACTTGGACGGGTCACCCAAGGAAAGATAATGGGCATTGTCGGGGGTGGTGATGAGTAGACCCCCCACAGCTTTAGCAAATCCCATGCCTTCTAACAAGTCTGGCCCGAAGTTAAAGCCCCCACCTATGATGTATTCCTCCGACTGACTGCCCACGAACTCCCCCAGGTCGCTGAGGACGCCCCCGTTGGAGGCGTCGAGCCCCACGGAGTGGTGAAGATAAAGAGAGACCAACAGTAACGCTGGGCTGTCAGGAGCGTGACACTTGCAGGCTAGGCAGCGGCCCCGAGCAATGGCTGGGGAAGGCACAGAGTGGAGC